GGCCTCCTTCCGTTAATTATAGGCCTGCGCTCCTCTAAATGGTCTTCATCCACTTTGCTGCCAGTTGATCTATTCAAAATGGTTTTCTTTGTGTATATAGTCCACCTGTTTATACAAATTCTCCTGGTGTCTTCCTGAGAAAAATAAAACCAAAAAAACAAGTCACATTGTTTTGAATTTGTTTGGCTTCCATAGTGTAGCTCCTTCGGTCTTTCATCAATAATTTTGTGAATGTCTACTACTGTGCCAGGCTCTAGGCTAAGGTGCTTGGGATATAAGAGTGGTCAAAACAGATGTGGATCATGCCCCTTTGGTGAATAATCCCCATGGAAGTGATAGAAGGTGAACTGTTAACAAATGAATAATCTGAAAATGTGCTGTGCTAGGGAATAACTGTGGAATGTGAGGGAGAGAGGCTTCCTTAGATGAGGAGACCTGAGAAGACTTCCAAACCTCCACAGAGTGAAAAGTGAAGTTAAGAAGGAACATGGTTTGTGAGGTGCTAAGGGATCAGGTGATGTTTCAAGAAAAAGAAACTGCAAGTGAAGAGGCCCTGAGGTAGGAAAGAGCTTGGCATGTTCTCATAGGGTTAGAAGACTTGTGAAGTGAGGGGCAAGCTTCTTACGGAGTTGGAGTAGGAAGAAGAGACCAGACTTTTTAGAGCCTTGTGAAAGAAGAGAAGCAAATGAGACAGATAAGCATTTGTTACGGTCATTTCTCCATCCATTCATCCATCACTTTGATAGTGTGGAAGAGAGAGGATTAGGATCCAGTGGTAGTGGGAGAAGGTGTAGAACAGAAAACTGGAGGACAGTTAGGAGACCACCGAGGCCATCCAGATGAGAGATAAGGATGTCTTTAACTATGGAGGAGAAGCAGAGGTGGAGAAGATTGGGCAGATCAAGATGTGTTCTGAACACAGAACAGATGGCACTGCTGGTGGATTTGATGTGCAGGATGAGAAGTAAGAAGGGCTGAAGAGTGATGCCAAAGAGTCTCACTCGACGAACTAGATATGCAACGTTTCCTGTGATGGGAAGACATGGGAATAAAAGGTGTTTGCAACTCAAGAGATGGTATTTAAAACCATGGGAATGGATGAGTTCATCCAAAAGAGAATATGAGAAAAAAGACAACTACACAACTCAACATTTAGAAGGCAGGGTGATGAGAAAGAGCCAGCAATGGAGACTTGGCTGAGCTGCAGCACATAAGAGGGAGGAAAAGAAAATAAATGGAAAAGCTGAGACAGATGAGTGCTTTAATGAGGAAGTGATTAACTTTCAAAAGCTTCTGAGAGTCCAGTAAGATGAGGAGAGAAAAATAACCTTGGAAATCGACCACATGGATCTCTTCTGAGACCTCAATAAGAATTTTAATGGAATATTGAGGACGGAATACAAGTTGGGATGAGTTCTAAGTGGGAAATTAAGAAAAGGAAACAGCATAGAAGAAACATCATCTACTATGGCAAAAAGGATAATTTGTATCAAGTTATTTGGGAACTTGGGGCTATAGAGAGAGGGGGATTTTTAACTTCATAAAATATGTTGGCACTATCCTGACTTTTCAAGTTCTGGGTCAGGAAGGTTCCCTGGAGTAAGAAATAGGAACCCACTCCAGTATTCTTGCCTGGAAAATCCCATGGACAGACGAGTTTGGCAGGCTACAGTCCATGGGGTTGCAAAGAATCAGACATGACTGAGTATGCATGCAGCCACATCCTGACTTATTTTAAATTTATATGTAGCATTTCTTCAATTATCAACTTATCAGAAAAGTTGTTTTGACTTGATCACTTTTCTTCATTGATTCTCATCTTTTAAACATGTAACAGTTATTTCTAACCACTTACCTACCTTATAATAACATTCAGAGAGCTCAGAGGTATATTTGAATAAGCATGTAAGGCAGTCACAGTTTCCACAGACTTCAGTGCTTTGAAAGACTCTTCCACACACTGCAAAACAGACTGAGAGATGGTGAGTGTTATCATGAGGAAGTGAAGAACTGAAGTTAACATTCTGGTCCTTCCATTCCATCACAGATTTTCCAATGCAAATACTTCCTTAAGATAAAATTGATTTTGCAATGGGAGACCCATCGTGGAGTGAAGTCTGCCAGTGTGTTGTTGCATCTTGGCTCATGAACTATCACATGTTAGAATCATTTTAAGTTATCAGACTTTTTTCTTTTTTAAAATATAATTGGCATGTAACAGTTCATATGCTTGATTCTGCTTCATGCTTGCAAAGCATCTCAGCCCTCCTGCTGTCATCCTGGGATTGACTGCATCCTATAATGTTATTCTTGCTGAGTTCCAGGTACAGTCAGCAAACTATCACGTGAATCTTGGCTATGAACCTTGTACCATGGGGTAGTCACTGGGCAACAGTAGAGAAAATACACAGGGTTTTGCGGTCAGAGACCTGAGTGGGAATCCTAGCTCATGCGATTACTACCCTGGTGAAGCAGGCGAGTTATTTGAACTCCTCTGGTCCTCAGTTTTCTTCATTCATAAACAGGGAAAATGCATAATTCTTTCCAAACCAACCCACAGGTCAGCTAGCATGTTCAAACGTGAAAGCACTTTATAAAAGGTTGAAACAGTTGGTCAATATTACCCACATTTTATTACCCTTGGACTCTAAAAATCTGCCACTTTTTTTTAAACTCTTTAATTTCAAGTCTTAACTGCTGAATTTTCCAGCCTACCTTCCCCCTCCCCACAACTATCTTTTGGACTTATTTAATTGAAATCTGTTTCACGTGCTCTTTTCTTAGTCTAATCCCTCAAAGTTGATAGTTCTGTTATACCTTTACATTATAAGGTGATTTTGATGAAACAGAAACTTATTTATGGCGTACATCTACTTTCTTTTCCATCTTTCACAGCCACATAACCTGCACCTGCTCTCGCAGGGGAGAACCCCTCTCTGCTGCTCCTCTGGGTTCCCATCTTTTGCTCTTGGGCCTGAAACCCGGGGCCTACAGCAATATCTATCCCTCCGCATTTCCGGTTTTAGGCATCACAGCTTTGCATTCAGAAACAAGAGGGCAGCCTATGGTTGTTAGCATTTTTGCAACAGAGAAGCCCTCAGCCCTTGCAGTGGACGGGCCTCTTTGCTGGATAATGGAACCTTTTCCATCAGGTCTCACTATTTAATTTTCAAATGGAACCCAAAGCGCATGACTAATGTTCTGTAGTAATTGCTTAACACTAAGTGTTTCCATGCTTGAATTTTGCTGTATTAGGAAAGAAATTTGCTTAATGTACAGTTACAAAAGTGTCCTGGGGAGTCACGGTACCGAGAAGGCAAAGCGCCCGAGAACAGGAGGGATACCCTGACATTTGGTCTAACATCTCACAGGAAAGCGGGATGCAGGGCGCTGAGCCCTGGCTCACACATCAGGGTCAGCTGGTAACAGCGGCAGGGAGGTGGCCACAGAAGCTTAGGGTAAACGGCTTCCCCCACACACCTCTCCTCCCAGGAGGTCGCCAAAACTGGTGACTCGGAGCAGAGGGGGGTGACTTTCCCTTGAATAAAGCAGTTCCTTCTCTGCCTCTCTTTGACCGTTCTGAAGGATTTGATCCTCAATCTTAAGCAGCTCCACCAAAACCAAATTATTTCAGAACTTTTAAACCTTTATTTTTTAAAACATAATCTTTCTTTGGGTATATCACCTTCTATTTACTGCAACCTGCTTTGGAAAGTTGGTTATCAGGGAAGGTTCTATAGGGACCATTTTAACTCTGGCTGCAGAAATTTAGTCATATTTTCCAATGAACTGCATTAGTTCCTTTCTTGCTCTCCAAATATTCAACAATTACAAGAATCTCTTTGTTATCTTGGACATGACTCCCTCAGGTTATTGAACTTCACACTATAGCTACTAGGATAGGAGAAGAGTAAAGAGAAAAAAAAAAAACAGAAGTCTGTCCAAAGTTTTATATATCTTCCCTACTGCCTGGATAGTTCATCTTTTTAATATTTATTAATTTCCTCTGTTTTTTATTCCTACTTTCTCAAACAAAAAACAAAAAGCCTGTATTAGAAACTTTTGAGCTCCAGTAATTTAGTGGACACTTTCTATATTTATCAGACAGCTCCTTCTATAGCTAATAATTCTAAGAATTGAGTGAATGCTTTAGAGAAAATGTTAAGAATACCTGCCCTATACTAACATTAAATAATCACATTAATTTCATTTTAACCATGTTTCCTGATTTTATCAAGACGTATTTCTCTGTAACCAGACCCAGGAGGTGTTAAACAGATTCTGAGGCAGAATGAGGCATTCACATCTGCGTCTGTGTTCTGCGGGCTGTAGGCTGATTGTTTCTTGTTTTATTGTGCTGCGCTCAGTCGCTCAGTCGTGTGCGACTCTTTGCAACCCCATGGACTGCATCCTGCCAGGCCCCTCTGTCCATTGGGATTCTGCAGGCCAGAAAAATAAGAGCAAATACTTTCATGCCTAGCCCTGAGAAATATTGTGCTCTCAAGGAAGAGTACCAAATACAGAGAAATGTGTGGATGAGACCTATAGAGAATTTTGGCATGTAGACAGAAGGTTAGGTAGCATTTGGTAGAAATGAAGGTTGGGGGGTGATGGCTGTTGAGATGACTGGATGCTTTTCCTCCACAGCCTTGAATGCTTTGTGTCTGTAGTTTTGCTGTAGTAGGCCTAAAGTCTACTTCATGATTGAACTTTTTAAGTGAATTTTCCCTTAAAAAATTCTGTGTTGAAAAAAATTAGACTTGAGGCCAAGATAAGAAATATATTATAAATGTATATTCTTCAATTTTAAAGTAAATCCAAAGTGAAAATGGAATAATGTGGGTGGCATAGTTTGAGATCATAAAAATGTTGAGATTCTTTTGTGAAGGAAATATTTATATCACAAAGAAGCAGGACTATCTTATTGAAAATAATCATTTTTATTTTAATACTAAATATAACTTTTTTGGTTTTTCTTCTTTTTAAAAAATATCTAACAGAGAAGAAAATCACGATATTCAGACCTTGACTTTGAGGTAAGTGTCTCAGAATTATTTTTGTTTTAATTTTAATTACTTGAATTTGAAATTGGTGTATAATTACTTAAACATATTACTCTGTGCAGCTATGTAAGAGTTCTACATTTTTTAATTAAAATGAGAAGTCAAATGTTTTTCATTAAAATCCATAATGTATAACTAGTTTTAGAGAAAAAATGTAAGTTCTGATTGCTTTAAATGTGTGCTGAGACTGAGATATTACATACAATTAAAGATTCCATTTCATAATGCTAAGACATGTGGGCTATTTATGGTGAGAGTTGAATCTGGTCAATTTGTTTAAATCCCTCAGTTTGTTGGGAAGTAGGAATTTTGGTTTCTTGATATTATAAATATTTTTCATATTTAAAATGGTCATGTTTGTTCTACTTCAGTGATGATGTGAAGAGTGCCTGTGAGGGGTGTTTGGCTGGGTAGCTAGGTTTCCTTGGGACTGACTTGCCAGACTCAGGCTCCCTGTGGTACATTACAGACTCGTTTTTCCAATAGCAAGTGTTGTTTCAACGTGCTCCTCTGTTTGGTAAATGCTTTTTCACAGATATAAACAAGATGAAGATGTTCATTCTCCAATTTGCATTGAATTTATATTGATGCTGTAATATTGATGCTAGAAATTACTGAAATCATACCATTTGAGCAGCTTATGCTAAGCACAAAATTAATGATGTTTGAGCATCACATAAAATGCACTTATGCATCTTGATAATTGGATATGATTCATAGCCTCCTGACATAATTGGATATAAAGCATTATCAATTTTTCCAGCATATTTGTATTGTTGTGATGCCTACATAGAACTTAATACTCTTAGCTGATATCCTAAAATTTTAGAAGCCTCTCAGAATGTGGAAATTCATAATTCCATCATTTCATTTGTGTAGATGAATATTGTAACTCAGCAATGCATATCAAATATCAAAAGGGAGGCAGTAGTTTCTGTTTACTATGACGGTGAACAAGCCCAGAGTTTACCTTGAATAGAGTCTAAGGAGAGTTGGATTTTTTTAAGACATATTTTAGTAGAATTTGTACAGGATACAAAATAGTGATGATGAATCTGACCTCAATGATGATATGGCAAATTTTAGTATTGATGTGGCTCAGTTGCATCAATATTAACCTGTCACAGAACGGATATTTCATTAGAGCCTGAATTTTTAAGATAAAAATATCAAGACTATAAATTCAAAGAGAAAATAATCAAAACTCTTCACTTTTAGATTCTTTAGTACCTTTTAAGGAACAGATATTTTAGGGTTTTTTCCTATTAATTCTTCAGGTAGCCAAAAGAGAGGATCACCCTGTATATGTGTATGTTCATGATATATGTATGTGTGTGTATATATTTATACACACATATGTATATGTATATACATATTCCTGAAAGCAGTTAGTTGTTGTGTTAGTAGGGAAGGAAAGAAGTGAGATTAACCCACTAGGCATCATGATAAAATATAGTAAAAATCTAGATCTAAAATTAAGCCTCAGTGCAACCAACTAAAGTTATGTAATTGTCAGCACTGAAAAGAAATCTGCATCCTTTGGAAAATTAGAAAAACTGTTCTTTTTTTAAAATTTTCTCTGTGGCAACTGGTAACAGACTCCTTAAGCTGATCTTTCTTCCTGTGCTTTGGATTCCAACATATAACCAGGGTATTATCAAGATACCTGCTGATAACAAAGAGACAACAAAAAGTTGCAACACTGCAACTGTAGATGTTTTCTTGTGCCTTTTCATTACTTTGGTTCTTGCATGACTTCTATTGGTGTCAAGTTTTGCCAGAAAATGTCTTTGATGTATGATTTGAATGGTTTAATACTACTCCCCTTAATATATGTGCAACTACAATTATATAACAGATGTTTCATGGACTGTGTTCAGAGAAATTATTGCTGCATTTAAATGCTGATGAATTTTAATACAATCTATCTGTTCTCTATAGCTAGTCCTTAAGGATGAGTCTAAGTTGTCTCCTCCCTGTTTTAATTCAGGCTGGATAAATTAAACATGTTGCTGTCAAACTTTCTGATAACGCCCACCTGAGCCTGCTAGTTTTACCACACTATCACCAACTCAGACATTTAAACCACTGCTAGACAAACTTTGCCTCCTGGATGCCTAAAAGCATCTTCCTTTCAGGTGAAGGCCTCACTCACTCCCAGAATCCACACATGATAACAACGTTATCTTAACTCATATATCCAAAAAACCCTGTGGGTAAGTCATACATGAGAAGAGCCGTTTCATAGCACCAATCTCCAAGACAGCATTGAGCAAAGAACACGGCAAGTTAACTGGTCATAAAATTGTGGAATATAGATTCTAACTTTCTGGAAAGTATACAAAAATTACTGTAGTGCTGACCCTATGTTTTGTGACCAAACTGTCTATTGAATTTGTATTCCCAACTCTAAGCAGAGAGGTGGTACAATACATAACCCTCCAGTAAGTGTTTGTTGAGTGAGTGATGAAAATTTGAATTTTTAATCTGATCCACTTTAATAAAACATAGTCAAACACTATATCTGAGTTGGAGCAGTATAGAAAATGGACCACAATGGAGGCAACACCTCAAAGATATCTACATCATATATAATTCCAAGAGCTAGTAATGTCAGATAGAAATCCCCAGAGGGGGAAAAGGCATGGAGGTTGCCCTTGCATGTTTAGTGAGCAAGAAGCAAGTCAAAATTCACTGTAACCTGGAGCAAATGAAAGACAAGAACAGACAGAGGAGGCAATTTATAAACCATCTAGTGAAGGGCTTGTACACCTTAGGAACAATTTTTACCTAATCGTTACTAAAAGCCGCTAAGTCTTTTCTGTTGTGTTTTGTTTTGTTTACTTTTACTGAGGAAATGTTTAGCTCTGATCTGGGCTATGGAAAGATGAATATGGCAGAAATAGGAAGGAGAGACGGTAGTGTGGTGAGGAAGGAAGTTGAAATATAAACTAGGGCGTGACTAGTCTACGAAAGAAGAGATGAGCACCCGCTTCCTAGAGGTGGTAGGAAAGCAGAAGTGAAGCTGCTTGGTCGTGTGCGACCCTTTGTGATTCCATGGACTGTAGCCCACCAGGTTCCTCCGTCCACGGGATTTTCCAGGCAAGAATAGTGGAGTGGGTTGCCATATCCTTCTCCAGGGGATCTTCCCGACCCGGGGATCGAACTCGGGTCTCCCACATTGCAGGCAGATGCTTTACCCTCTGAGCCACCAGGGAAGCCCAGGAGAGCAGAGGTGGTAGGATATTGTGTAATGTATATTTTTATCATTTCCATGTTAAAAATATATAGAGAGAGAGGTGTCTTTTTTGCATCTTCTCTTGCAAACCTGTGGGGATAAACCTTGTCACATTCTTCCATGGGAACCATGCAGCCTCTTAGACACACCGTGGAATGTTCCTTTGAGGTTCCTGGTGAGCCCCCACACCCAGTCAGTCCACACGCTTCTCCCACTTGGCAGAGGGTGCAAGACAGCACAGACCCAGGGTAATTGTGACCTGTCTCTGTGGGCACTTGATGTTATTGGAAGATTTGGGGGAACATAGTCAAGTAAGGTAAAATATTATTTTATACTAATTTTATGTCATTTATGAACACAGCTAAGCTGTGATATAAAAGAAAATATTTATATTAATTTCTAAATTGAAAGCATACAATTTCTTACAAATGTCCTATTCTCAAAAGACCCCTTCGTGCTTTGACCCAACCCTCAGCCATGTGTGGCTTCTGTTACACAATCAAGTATATTATGGGAGGAAAAGTTTGCGCACTGAGAACTTGGCTATATCCTTCTCTCCTAGCTTACTAAATTTAAACTACTTTTGCAAAATTATTTATCTGTAGCCAAGTATACTCTGAGTGACAGCAGTTGTCACTCATATATATATGTATGTATGTATATATGTATATATATACACATACCTCATTCATTTTTTTCAGACCCTTTGTCTGGTTTCTTTTAAGCCCTGGGTACGTATTTATTCAAATAGAAACATATTTGACACTGTAATGCCAAGCATTTCAAGGGTCAACAGAGTCTGTCTTATGGATACACCAGGACTCTGACCAAAGAAAGATACCTAAATCATCCCCTTCCCACAATATGACTTTGAGAATCAAGTTTAATTCCTGTAGTGTGTCTTGTTTCCTTCACATGAGTTTTAACATCACTGCAGACTAGCATTCAACAGCTCACGCTGAATTAAAGACTCACATGCAAAGCTGCAAGAAGAAAGATAACCCTAGTTTTATACTAGTTATATGGACAGTGGCAGTAAGCTCTGTAAGGCCAAGTGGTGTCTAATTCCTAACAGCACACGATTTCCCAGCCCCATAGTCTAAAGTTTATAGTCAGGAGATTCTCCAACTTTTTCTAATCATCTCCTTCCATTTCTAAAAAGTTAATATATGCAGGGTAATACCTATCTTATCTATAATTCAAACTTAAAGAGATTGCAGCTCTATAATTCTAGGCTCTGAATTTGAAAGAGAAAACCTTCAAATAGGAGGAGAGAAGGCAAGATTGGTGATGGCCTTCTGTGTCTGTGTACCTATGTATCTGTGACACCTCATTCATTTAATTTATTCTGTGACTGTCTGTGGAGCACTAGCTGAATGCCAAGCACTGTGCTGGGTGTCAGGGATTCAAAGACACTGCCCACAAGATGTTCAGAGAACAGGATGAGGAGAATAGCCTTCAAGCCAAAATTGCAGTGCTTGCTATGAGACCATTGCAGGGTGACTGATATCCACAGAGTTCATGAGTTCTCAACAGAAGCCCTCTCATCCACCCTCAATTTTTTAATCTCCTTTTCATCTGAAAAATGAGATGGCATCATCGCAAACTTGGATAGTCTGATAAAGGATGCTTCCTGAGTCCATGGGGTCCACCTAAGACAGCAGCATGCAGAGAGAATTCACTTGGATTCAGAATGGATTCAGCTTCCCACCACCTGTGTGAGCTGCAAGCTTTACTGACCTCTCAAGTTAAATCTCCTAATCAGTCAAGTGAGATAATGACCACCACCTCCCAGGGTTATTGTGAGGATTAGGAAGGATAATAACAGCTACCTTTTCATAAGTGGCTCTTATCTGTGTGCTCCAGTGATAAGTGATTTAGAACCCTTTTTAAATCTTCAATCTTACAAGGTTATTCTGACAACTGAAATTCTGGCTAAAGGTGATTGAGTTTTTTGTCTCTTACTATACAACTGGAAAGTCGGAACTAAGATCCAAATCCAAGCTTGTCCAGATCTAAAACTACTAGATTTGACAAGTATTTAATCAAGGAGATTGTCTGGAATATAGTAGGACCTCAAGATATGAAGTTTATTTACATCCTAGTTTTTCTTAAATATCTGAAATTTCATGAAAGTGCTTGACGGCATATCAGTTCCCCACTAATTTCAACAATTAAAAGGCCACAAAGACGTCCTTCCTTGAGTTACAAAGATATAAATGAAGGATAAAAGTCCTATTAAAAAAACTATTTGGGAGACACTACATTTGTGCAGTTAGGTGGCTGGTCCTTTCAGAATGGGATATCAGCACAGCTTTGAAAAAAGGCTGAATGATAATAATCTAAGTGAAAATGAGCTTTGTCTAGTGTTTGTCTTTATTGCAAAAGACGCCCGTAATATTTGACAGGCATTATAACTGAAGGAACTGATTTTTATGTGGTGTTGCAAATTAGAATGTATTTGACTATTTAAATAATCCACTTGTTTAAGGTGCAATTTTGTCACAGAATTCAATTTCTTTGCGACACAAGATGTTTGATTCACAAAAGAATGAAGAAGGTAAATGGATAAACCCTCAGGTCAGTAAAAGTCCAGAAAGTAAAAGACAAACAAAAAACCCCAAGAAGAACAACAGCAAAATAGCAAAATTCAGGAAGAGCCATCAAAATGGATCAGTAAGATGTATAGGTATGAAACTTTCTAATTAGATAATTAAAATCATCAAAGGTGTAATTGCTTCAAATAATTAAATATTTAGGCAAATAGGTGAATCCCTTATCACCTGTGACAACTAAAACTGCAGCTTAAGTTTTTATCCCGGAACATCACTGGGTTAGACCCTGTCCAGTATTCCCTGTGATTCTGGCTTTACTGTCCATGGATCTTTCCCCACTAAAGAAGCGGAAAGATATACCTGAGTCTTTTTTATTTTTCCATTTATTTTTATTCGTTGGAGGCTAATTACCATGACAAAACCCACTACAATATTGTCCTTGAGTCTTTGAACAAGACAATCATGCCTGGAAGGTCACACTGAGACTGAGTCCGATCCACGAGCTGTCCCTTGGCAACCGTAATGTGGTCCTCTTCTCAGAACCGGCAGGCCATCATTGCTATGGTGATTTCAGGCCGTGACAAGGTGGCAGTTTCATACTAGGCTGATGATCTGGCTTGAGGATGTTTTTGCAATTATGTTTCTAGGTAGGAAGGGGCCCAGATTTCAGCACCTAAATTTTTCGTTTGATTTTACATTCATTTCAGGGTCCTTGAGCTTTATTGTCCAGAGTAGCTTTGATGAACTTCTGGAGAACATCATAAACTACTCCTTGGTTACATCAGATTGGTGCCCACCATATACATGTCTAAGAATGTCTTAACAATCCAACTCTTCAAAATTCACCCGGTTCAGAATAAGGTGCTGCTCATTCAGTCAAAGCATGATTTAAAAACTCCAATCAGTTAATGTATCCTCATTTCCATGGGATATATTCGACGCTTGGCTTTATTAAACATGCTTTATCTGTTAGCGATATCTGGTTGCAAGAGACAAAATGACTTTGACTGACAGACAAAAGAGAACTTTGTTGGAAGGATATGTAAAAATTCACCTCTTGGCAGGGGATGGTCAGGACCTTGATTGACAGTTTCGCAATGCAAAGTCAGACCCCCCTTATGAGATAAAATATGAGTGGAGAGAGAGAAGCCAGACCAACTCAGCACAGGGCCACCTCAGAGCGGGCAAGTGTTACCAATAACATCAACCATCTTAGAAGAGAATGAGTCCTCTTCGGAAAGGAATGATCTCCCTGAGGAAAGGGGATTTGGGCGTAAGATGAAAAATTGCAGTAGGAATTCTCTTTTATAAAATAGAAGAAAGAAAACAGGAATAACTGATTTGAGAATTTCCAACCTAAAAATGAATATGTAGGACTTCCCTAGCCGTCCAGTTGTTAAGGCTCCATGTTTCCAATGCAGGGGATGTGGCTTCAGTCCCTGGTCAGGGCTAAGATACCACGTGCCATGGTATGGCCAAATTTAAAAAAAAAAAAAAATTTTTTTTTTAAATATGTAAAGATTTTGGAATCTGAGTCACTTGGATTTCTCTTAGCAGACTTCCCGATCACTTACTCCTATAACAGTACGTCTTGTTTTTCCTCACCATAGTCTAATTAAACTATGTGATTAAAGTGTGTCCTCCATTACAGTTCAAGCTATAAAAGGGCAGCGACTCTACCAGATTTTGCCAGTAGTGTTACTCTAGTGTCTAACTCAGTATGTGATGTCATAAATATGTATTAACTGACAGAATGAAATCTCTTTAGAGAAATGTCGGTATGATGACATCACTCCTACTGCACCCTGACACAAAGTAACTGTGTGGTAAGACTCATTACCATGAAAAACACTATATGGTAGTTCAAGCCGAAGTCGGTATACTGACAACTATAGTTTGTTTTGTTTTGTTTGTTTGTTTTAAAGCACTCATTGTAACTCAGACCCATATTTGAGACAGTGTCTTAGGGCCAGATGCTGCCTGGGAATATTTGCCTCCCTCAGGGTAGAATGTACTCGTTGTTTGCCAACTACTCGCTCCTCAATCCCTCCATTGCGTTGCTTTTGCAAATCCTCGCCTCACAGCAATCTGCATCAGCCATCACTAGTCAAGTGGTGTATGCCCAGTGTTTCTCTAAATCCTACAGATCTGTTTCTTGTATTCTCCCCAAAACTGAAGAGAAGTTAATCACCCTGCAGCTTCATGCTGTGTTTATGCTCCTTTCATGAGTGATGATGCCATGTTCCCATCCTCCCCACCTGATTCATCAACAGCAAACTTCTAGAGCTCAGAGGAGCCACTGAAAAAATCCAGTGGAGCAACACTTAAAACGGCAGAATTCTCCGTATTAAAGTAGGCTAGTGAAAACAGAAGAATTAGCTGAACAAAGCATTGCCTAAACACAGATTCATTAAATATAGGAAATTAAAGTTGGCTTGAGAGAGAACAAACCTTCTTAAAATGTTAAAGATGCCATTTGCATTTTTCTTTTGCCTTTTTTGTTCTTCAGGAGATAAAGTTTTCTACACACGTGTCTTTTGAGAACAAAATTGGGCATTATAAATCTTTCCCCGAAGTTGCATTTCTTTTTCAAAACTAATTCTTACTTCTGAAAATATTTGGTGATTAAAACAATAGACCAAATGTTCAAATCATAGCTCAGACATGAATATGGTATACCTATGCAATCTGCAAGAGCAAATGGTGAGTTATGAAGCCCATGCTTAAAAAGACTATAAAATCTTACATAAACATGAAGGCATAATCTTGGAGAACCACCAAAACTTTGATATTTTAACTTTTAAATATCACAATTGAGGAAGGTATTTTCTCCTTTAAAATAACACATAAATACAGGGGAATTTTTACCCAACCCTCCTTTGTTAGTACTCTTTTAAATGCTCTGTAATAGAAACAGATTCAGCTCATGATACTTACCCCAAGGTCATTTTATTTCTGACTCTATTTGTTGAGTTGTGATGAAGTTGGAAGAAAGGCTATAATCAGGGATGAAGAATATTAATGTATTTGTATCTGTGGTTTTAGAAGCTCATCAACCACACAATTTATGCTCTGAATTCTAATTGTTAAGATTCTGTACCATTTTGTAAACAAATATATGAAACTTCTGGGTCAGATTTTCCTTCTGTGAAGCTCAATCATTATTCACAGGGAAAGTGTAAGATTTTTAGTTGTAACATTATATTTCAGACACTTTATTGCTTTGAGTTAGCCTTAATTGGCATAGCCTGGGACTTTGCTCCCTCTTTAGTAGAGCCAGCCAAGATTTTAGTGTTCATAGAAATAAAACATAAAAAGTAATATTTCCCATGGCAAACACTGAGAGACTCTGGTGCTTTACAGTCTGAAATTTTTAAACATTCTTTATATTGTAGCAATTTTTGTAAAACAGCTTTAACTTTAAATGATGAAAATCTTACACAGAAATGACTGCTACATTTTTATTCACCCACAGAGAAAACTATTTTTTGCTAATCTTGTAAGTGGAAGAAAAAGCCAATTCTTCATGTTCTAGAAGTGCTGACTATAAGATAAGGGCTTGGTGCAGCTCATTTGCCTGTGTGTCTTCTTCTGGGACCTCCTAGTACCTGCAAAACTTAATTTCCTTTATTAGTGTAGTAAAATATTAAATCTCTTTTTTTAATGCATAAATCAGGTTAGAAATGTGAGCCATCTTACTTTCTTTTGCAGAAGGTTATGCATACAAGGAAGAGGCACATGGAACTGTTTCAGGAACTCAATCAGAAATTTCAAACTTTGGACAGATTTCGGGATATACCAAATACAAGCAGTCTGGTGAGTGGACATTGCTTCATTGGTGTTGATGCTGTCTTGGGAATACAAGAATGGAAAATTGAAAAAAAGAAAAAAATCCCCCAATGGTGCTTTGAATTGTATTCAGAGGCAATTTAGGAACAACAGAATTTTAAAATTTTTTGTTCATATTTCAAATGTTCTCAAGTATAAGGTCTAATTGGAATAAGTTATATATATATATATAAAATGTGCTGGATTCACCTGGCCATTTTATAATCAGAGCTAAAAGCCAGTTAATTCAAATTTCCAAAGAGTTGATTAAATCTTTTCATTTGAATGCCTGGCATTTTAAGGTCATAACATGTAATATATGTAACCTATATAATATAAATAAGAGGTATTATAAGTATATAAAATATAGATAGATAATAAGCACACCTATCTGTAGAGAGAGTTATTACCTGAAACTTGAGAGGTAAGTTTTCCCCCCAGAGTTTCAGGGTACACATCAGCGCTGGGGGCTTTGATTGTCAGTTTTGACCACTCTCTTCACTCAGTCCTTCTGACTATAATCCTAGCATAGGACTTAATCAAACACAATGATATTTGGCCACTGCTCTGTGCATGGCACGGTCAGAGCTCCAGAGAAGGCTATGCCATTATTTGTGAGAGCCCTGGATCATGGGTCTAGAAATCAGTATGATGGTTCAACAAGATATTCCAGTTTTATGATAGTGCAAAAGCAATGTGCATTCAGAAGAAGTCACACTTTAAATTTTGAATTTTGGTGTGTTCCTTGCCTAGTGGTGTGTCGTCCAGTATTCTTCCATGATGCTGGGCAGGGACAGAGATCCGCAGCTCCCAGTCAGCCTTGAGACCACCAGGATGAACAACCACACTTTGACAACCATTATCTACCCAGCCAGCCAGCCTGATTTTCACTTTCAGTGCAGTGTTCCATAAATTGCATGAGATGGTGAAGGACAGGGAAGCCTAGTGTGCCACAGTCCCTGGGCTCACAAAGAGTTGGATATGACTTGGTGACCGAATAACAACAAAGCCTGGCTAAGCTATGGTGGTCAGTAGATTAGGTGTGCTGAGTGCACTCTGAGCTTATGATATTTTCAGCTGTGATGCGATTCATGGGATATACATCCATGGTAAGTTGAGAAGGACCTATAGTAGAAAGCTCAGCCAAGAACTATCTGAGCTTGAGCAAGTTACCCAGCTCAATTTCTGAAGCTCAGTTTTCCCCTAAATTGAGCATAGGAAATAGTCTGAAAATGTGCCCCTTGGATCTTCACACTTGCCAAAGCAGGAGGGGCCTTACCAGCCACTAGCTGATTCTCTGATTCAGCTCTGAGAATTAGAGCTGGGATGGCCTGCCCTCTGACCACTCCAAGTGTGGCTCTTTTTCTCAGCTTCACACGTTTGCAGACCCTGGCTGGCTCTTCTCCTCCCAGCCTCTGGTGTTCTGAAATACACATCCTTTGAGGTGTTTTTGGTCACCTTCTCATGCTAGTAATTCTTTCGTATGTATATGAGTCTTAGTCCTGGCTTTCTCAGTAATGCCGTTCACTTTTCAAGAGGAAGAATGTATGTGTCTTTGTGTTTTGCTTGTAGTGCTCTCAGTGCTAAAAAGCATGATGGCCATATATGCTAAGTTATCAATAGACGGCCACTCTTGATTTCTTACATGTCAAATAGTTTAATCTACATTAAACTATTCATGTTTGTTAAATGAAGGATATAAGCAATATTATACACTTTAACTCTTCACTGGTCTCTAAAGAGTTTGTGTATATCAATCTATTTTCCTCCATACAGCAAGAATCTTGCATTATGTGGAATCATCAATGCAACGCATACAGAAAACACTGTATGTAGTCAGTGGTTCTTTCTCATCTACCCACCCCCCGACACACACACCAAATATTAAACTGTCAATTTTTAGTTAGCAGGAAAATGAAAATTGCACCATTGAGATTAGCCCTAAACTCATTAGCTACTCATTTTGAAATCCTGAAAGCTAACATTGAAATAAATTGAAGAAACTTCTTGTTTTCTTTTTAAAAGTAGAAGGTTATGCTTACAAATTTGAAAGACTTATGCAACAGATACAGCTGGCTGACTGCTATAATATGATTGTAATTTCCTCTTGTATGGTCTGGATATTAAATCATTAATGGCACAAATATCTGTATCTCAGTTTCCTGACAACCAAAATAGCATCCTAATTACAGCACATCTCTGCAGCAGCCTGCCTTTTCTAGAAAAGATTTATAAATATTTATCATTTGGGAGGTTAGGAGTGGGGAGGATCGTTGTCATTGCTGCTTCACTATTGTCCTAAATACATGTGAACAGAGGGAAAAAAAAAATCCTTATTCCATTTTGATTAATAAGGAACATGTGAGTGAGTTTATTATCCTATAATTCACAGTGGCATGTTGCTAATGAAACAGTGCCTAATTGGGTGGAGAAAGAGATTTTCAAAACAGAAACCTCAATAAAGTCTGTTTCCTTTTTTTTCTGGCTACTAACTCACAACACCTGCCTTTCAATGCAAATGACTGTAATTATGTAGAATCTGGGGAATAAAAGGGAAACTGGAAGACCACTCAATCTATCTCCCTGCCTCTAGGCAGGACAGCACCTGAATCTCCCACAAGGAATAGGTGTGGTTAACAGCCCAGTCATCACATAGAATAAGCAAAGGGGTCTTTCACTTTTCCCCTAGAGAAAAGGTTGGAAGAAGGAAAGAAGAAGAGAGGGAGGGAAGAAAAGATCAGTGAAGGGGGAAAAGAGGGAAGGATGGAGGCGGGAGGGACTTACCCACCTGTCTTACTTACCTGTTTGCCCTGGCGAGGAAATTTGGGGAAACAAACCGGCATGTTTTGGGTGGCTGTGAATTCTCAGATTCCATGAATGTTCTCTTTCTATTTACACAACCTAAGACCACATTAGCACTTTTGGAAGCTCATGCATGTTGGCTTATATTGATTTTATAATTTATTAGGCCTTTATCACACGTGCTTCAGTTTAAGTACATCTCCATTCTACATTTGAGCTCAAAAACAAACAAATGAACGTAATACAATCGCATCAATTCAGGAACTTATTCTAACTCTGAATTTTGTATCAAGATTCAGGCCTCCACTGAAAGCTTTCCTGGCCCAGGTGGTTCTCCCTGTTCCAGGGTTGATTGTTCCTTGGACCACTGAACAGGTCACAGTCCCTCCATAACAACCCATCACCCACTGACCGCAGAGGAAGATGGGTGGGCCAGGGGCGCGATCCCCCGCTTCCGGCTTCCTGCCCTGGTTGCTGGCAGTGGTGGCCCTTCTCCACTCAAGGGCGTCCACACCCTTGTGAGCCATGGTGAGACCCACAGCTCAGCAGGGAGTGCTGTAGGATGCCGGAGGAGATGAACCTCATTCATTAATTTATTACCTACTCAGAAATTCAATCAGCCATGTACTGGCAATAATACTCTGAAATTAGAAACAAGACATCCTGACAAAGTTGAAAATTAGCCTTTTTATTTCCTGTATCTGCAGTGCTGGATCTTTAAAATATAAAAGGAAAATCACACTTATTCTAAACACGATGAAGCACTTAATTGTATTTATTGGAGCATAGTTGCTTTACAATGTTGTTAGTTTCTGCTGTACAGAAAAGCTGTTCACACACACACACACACATCTGTGTCCTCTTTTTTAGATTTCCTTCCCATGTAGCTCACCGCAGAGCAGTGAGTAGAGTCCCCTGTCCTCTCACTGGTTATTTTATACATAATATCAGTATTGTATATATGTCACTTCTAATCTCCCAGTTCTTCCCACCCTACCTTCCCTTGTGGCATCCTTATGTTTCTTCTCTACATTTGTGTCTCTTTTTCTGCTTTGCAAATAAGATCATCTATACCATTTTTCTAGATTCCACATGTATGCATTAATATACAGTATTTATCATTTTTAAAGCAAATGAACTAGCACTTTACGTATCTTGACTTCTTTTATGATTGAACTAATTAGCTATCTGTCAAACAGGATTCCCTGAAAGCTCCTTGAGCTTTGATAAATCCACTCTATGGCTTGATTCAGCAGAATTTCTACCAATGAGCCCTTCCATTGATGACTGATGGTTCTGATCCCTATAGTGCCCCGAAGGTCCAACCATTCCTCATTGCCTACAAAATAAATTCCAAATTGAGAAGTAGCCTGGCAGACAAAGCCTCTTATGATCTGGCTTTCAGTCATCTTTGCTTGTTTTTTTTTCCTAATATTCTTTTTCACTCCAACTAAAATAAATTGGTCTGTGTTCTGAGAGGCCCCATTTCTACGCTGTCTGGATTTGAACTTAGTACACATACTTTTCCAGCCACCTGACCTCCAGCCACTCATATGTCTTCCTGACAAAGCGCATTCTTCTCTGCCAGGCTTAACGTCACTTTCCTCAAAAAGGTCTCTGTTCTTTCCACAAAAGGAAGCCGTATTTCCGCCCTTCTCCAAATTCCCACAGCACTTTTTCTGGATTGTAGGTGTGTTTATATCTATATATTTTATACCTCCACTTAACTATGGACACCTTTTTAGCAAGGATAATTACTATCTAGTGAGTATTTATTGAAATCAAATATTATGCTCAGATTCTCCACTTTTTTTTTTTAATCTTTGCAACCCATAAAGTAGGTGATGAGCTGCACCTTTTGCCAAGTCCTTTGGCCCAAAAGACAAAGCACACTTGTTTTGCAGATATTAAAATTGAGATTCAGAAAAATGGAGTCAGTTGTTCCAGGTCACATTCATATGGAATAGAGCAACTAGAATTTGTACCTGTGTGTACTGAGCTCTAAATCTATGTTCCCTCGTGGACCATGTGCTTTTCTGTATTTGATGTATCACCTTTCTCTCCCAAGCACCTCATATGATGCCAGCATAGAGCAGTTGATAAATAAGCATGGGTTGAAAGGAAGCAAAGAGAGAGGGAAAGAAAAGAGAGAGAGAAGGGAAGAGTTCTAGGACTATAATTCATGAGATTTTAGGGTATTAGACTAAATCAGAATTAACCCCCTGTACATGCCTTAAAGTTTTACTTTTTATTAAATCTTTACTATTAGCTATTTTTTTCTTGTATGTTCTGATTAAGGCTAACAAGTTCTGAAAACAGCTAACATATTGAGAATTTTAATAATGTAATTTCTAACTTATATGCGTATATATGGAATCTAGCAGGACAGTAATGATGAACCTGTTGGCTGGGCAGCAGTGGAGAGGCAAATATAGAGGGCAGACTGTAGACACAGTGGGGGGAGGAGAAGGTGAGATGCATTTAGAGAGTACCATGGAAATATACACATTACCATATATAAAATAGAAGCCAGTGGGGATTTGCTGTATGATGCAAGGACCTCAGACCGGTGCTCTATGATGACCTAGAGGGGTGGGATGGGGTGGGGGGTTCAAGAGGGAGGTTTAAGGGAGAGGGGACATATGTGTACCTATGGCTGATTCATGTTGATGTACCCAACACAATATTGTAAAGCAATTATCCTCCAGTTAAAAATAAATTAAAAAAAAGAAAAAACTATAACACTATATATATATAATAACTATATCTAGTTATAAATATTTCTATAAGCTGTGTCTTTTGACTATACTGGAGAATGATGTTTAATCTACTGAGTGGAATCCAAGAAATTATTCAAGTACCTGTTTTCTATTCCCCCTGCAATTGACTATAGTTAGTTGAAGGCCAGAATTTGTGTGTGGAGGGATAAAGAATGCATTCAACAACCATGAACTGATTTTTTCTTCCTAAGGAGATATCAGTCATGATTCTCCTCTTGTCTTTGATGTTACTCAGCTTAGTAAATCCTGTTCAAAGCCCCTCATTTTATAGAAATCTTTAAATGACATTTATTTAAAGTAAAGCAATTTTACTGCTAACTTCTAGCCAATATCAGGATATAAAATCCACAAATGATGTCTGTTCATACATTTCTCAAGCACCTACAAGATTGAAGTTCTTGGCGGAGTTATAATTAGGCAGATCTTAAATCTTAGATAATTAGAGGGTGTGGATGATGAAACTTCAGAAGAAATGGCTTGTAGACATTTTTTTCTAAAACCCTTATATTGCTGGATATGTCTTCCAAAAAGCTGTGCTCTTTGAAAGGATTTTTGGTAGTGTGTCATACAAGTTTATAGGAAATTGTGAAGAATATACAGCCGAAAAAAATAGATCACACATAGCATTTTCATATTCTAAAAACAGTAATTTCTTGATGAAAAAACTAAGCAAAGATAGGGATCTAAACTTTTACTTTACAAAATAAGGCTAGTTTAGGTTCTAGTTTTTAATATTACACAACATTCCCTATGATATAGCCTCCATTTTTTTTGATCACACCAAAGATTCTGCCAAAATATGTAAGTGTTCTATATTTTATGTTAGTGGTAACTTAGTGCCCCTTCCTACCTGAACCTATAGCCATCCTGACACTTCACAAGATGCTCCCAAACAAAACGTTACCTACGTTGCCTGCTATATTACTATTCATTTTCCTTTGATTGCTGGAACATTTTAGGGTAACTCAAAGAAGGTGTTCATCAGTTTGTTCAATGAAAGAAAACTGAAATCACAACCATTTCCTGCAGCTGCCCATAATTTCCAATCATCTCTGAATCACATAAACTGGATTAAGCTTAAAGCAGGCTCTCTTCCTGGAAATTTCAACAAGCGGCCATCCTAGTCATCAAATAAATGATTCCTTTCCCCTCTCTTCCTGACAGGAAAACGCAGCACCAAACAAGAATCCATGGGACACTTTCAAAAACCCCAGTGAATACCAACATTACACCACAATCAATGTCTTAGACACAGAGGCAAAAGATGCTTTGGAACTGAGACCAGCTGAGTGGGAGAAATGTCTGAGTTTGCCTCTGGACGTGCAGGAGGGGGACTTTCAAACAGAAGTTTAACAGAATCAAAATGGACTGCGGTGGAGACAAAATGTATTTGCACTGACGCTTAAGACTTGGGAAGCCTGACATTTCTCTCCAGACAATGCGACTCTCCTATGTCAGCACCTCCACGTGCCAAATGTCAGTGGTGTTTGCTTTGGTAACTTCTCCCTGGTCAGGCGAGTGGAGAGAGGCCCAGGTGTACAGTCCTGACTGCCCTGTGTTGTAAGTACCCGTGGAATGGATTTGTAAGGTAATCTTTATAGATAAACCTCAAGCAACGATTCATGTTGTAACCGCTTCATATGGTTTAGTTTTCAAAAAACTTCACCATGAAGCACAATGTATATATTTATGCAGTTTTTAAAGTTTATAACAGTCTGTTTGGCCATTACTACACTTTTTACTTTATAATATAAAAGCAAAGTTTTTGTCATTAAATGAATGTTTGTTGAGCTACATTCTTCATTGCTTTAAATGCAATAAAGTAATAATCTCACTTTTATATGAATAATATATTTCACATCTTTATTATTGCAGTTTTCTCTGGAAAGCTCTGAGTAGCTTTCTCTGCTGCAGCTGTGTATAAAATATTTAAAATGTTGTATGGTGTAAATAAACTTTTGTCTACATATCAGTTTTTTAGTGCATTTTATTTTGGATTTGTTGAATAGAAATTTACATATTTATAAAGTTTTTTTTTCATTACAGATACTGAAAATGTATTCATGGTTTTAATAGCATACCGTTATTACTCCTTTGAGGCTAATGATTTCTCCAATGTAATAGTAGGTTTGTATAGTGCTTCTGTATTTTCTACTCAAACACCCTTTGGAACAATGTACCATGTAAATGGGGCCTGTCAGAAATCTGCTGGCATCATACTCTTACATAAATATCATGTTTTTTCTATCTCGTGGAAAAAAAAAAAAGACAACTGCTAGTTGAAAACAGTAAGTTACCATACAAAAAAATAATGCAGAGACAATGTTTGTTATAAGTAATGAAGTTCACTGCATGCTCCACAAAAGAAACTACTTGTACTACTGTTCTTCATAGCATATGGGAAGATGAACTTAACTTGGGATTTTAAAAAAACTGGTATCTGTACATCCTCTAGCAGAAGGAAAGGGGAGTAGATGTACTTGGCAGATGATTTATCTGGTGTGAAGAGTCTGAGATGAGCCAACTGCAGAAGGCTCCCTGGTGTTCTGTCTGGCGCTGGAGCTGCACAGTGATGCCCCCCACCCTGCAAAGCGGCACCAGAGGAACCTGGGAGGATTCTGGAAATTTCCTCATCCTTTCAGGGGATGAGGATTTTGTGCTCTACAGTCTGAGGGAAAAATAAAGGCAGTGGGGAGGAGATTGGGGGCTTCAAAACGTCTCGGATGTTTATTTAGATTAGCTTGCTGGCTAAGCCTGCCCTGCGTGGTCTTCTGTGGTGGGCTCCCACGACTAGTGACCAGGGGACCCGGCCCACGGGCCACGAGGCAGACGCCAAGGTGCTTCAGTCTCAGACGCGCCTCTGAGCCGAGCCTTAAAACCCAACTCCTGTCAGACACCCTTCCTGTGCTCCAGGTGTGAGAAGCAGATTTTTAATCAGATTTTAACAATGAAGTGACATCATTATGCTAAAAAGCATATAACATAACAAAGGACTGTTTTTTAATAAAATAAACTTGATGCTAATTATAATGTAACTGTAATATTTAATGCTCATTAAGTTTATCAGGTGACTTTCTGGTGACAGGAATAATATTTAGTAATTTCTCTCATTATCTCTATTATGTATAAACACAGACATATTTGCATGTGTGCATATATACATATACATGTACATATATACACCTATACATAGGTGCATATATGTATATAAAATCCAAAACACTGAGCTCCATCTTAGTACCCTCTAAAGGGAACAAATTTCATATATACAGTTCTGCATTCCAAACTGTAAAATCTTGATGGAAAATAAAAAACCACAAGTATAGGTTTGAAAATTCTATATGTTTAAAACATAAATTTAATATACTAGACTAATATTTCTTCTAAAATCATAATATTCAAGGCCATTAACAAAAACTTACTTTTTTCTACCATCTTTCTCTAGTTCTGATAACTCTAAATACTAGAGTAATACATGAAACCTAACCAACAATTGCATACTTAAAAACGTTAGGGTAAATATTTCTGTTACTCTAAGAAGGATGCCGAGTCATAGTGGTGCTTTTGTTTGTTTTCTAATCTGTAAGAAGAAAATGCAAATCAGTCAGTATCAAGCAATCATAATTTTAAGGCAGACCTCTCCCAGTGCATGCCTTCTGAGTGTGCACTGTACTTACATAGATGTACTCAGTCACAGTGCTGAGTTCAGCGGTTCCCTGACATCTGGGCATGTCCCTCAAAGCCCACTCAGCACCTGCCAGGGTCCTGGTGCCCTTGGACTGGACAGTCCCTGCCTCACGACCAGATTTGACTTATGGGGCTTCCTGGTGGCTCAGGTGGTAAAGATTCTGCCTGCAGTGTGGAGACCAGGGTTTGATCCCTGGGTGGGGAAGATCCCCTGGAGAAGGAAATGGCTACCCACTTCAGCATTCTTGCCTGGAAAATTCCTGGACAGAAGAGCCTGACAGTCCATAGGGTCACAAAGAGTTGGACACTGCTGACACTTTCACTTCAAGTTACACCTCATATTTCATCCTCACAAAGTTTTTCATGATTTACCAGGCTAGAAAATAATTTCTCCTGTGAACTCTACGGCATTGCTTCTGTACCTCTCCTAGGACTTCTAAGATCTAGATCTTCTACCTTGTTACTTATACACATTTCTGATATCCTCTGATGGACTGTAAGTGCCTGGAGGGCAGGATTCATGTCTGATGCACTTTTGTACCTCATAAGGGATCTACCACAATAATGTGCACACAATAAACATGTGTTGAATTATTTGTGGATTTTATTTTAATATTGCTTACAGCTATACGTGTCAAGTCACATGTCCCCAAAAGTTTCCTGAACAATTACTATGTGTGTATTTCTGTAAGTCTATACTCTGTTTAGGGTTCTATCCCTGGCCCAGGAAGATTCCACATGCTGTGGAGCATCTAAGCCCGTGTTAACTACTGAGCCCACTCTCCAGAGCCTCCAGCTGCAACTACTGAACCTATGTGCCACAACTACTGAAGTTCTTGCACCCTAGAGCATACACTCTGCAACAAGAGAAGCCACCGCAATGAGAAGCCCTCCCATCGCAATGAAGAGGCGAGGCGTCCCCGCTCACTGCAACTAGAGAAAGCCCACAGGCAGAAAAGAAGACCTAGTACAGCCAAAAATAAGTAAATAAATATGAGATCGTGTGTGAAACAAGTATTTATATTATTTAAATATTAAGAAGCTCTTAAAACCCCCATATTATCATTTTTGTTCCTCAGATTATCACATGGGAAAGAATTAATTATAAAAGATATGGCTCAGAAGCGGCTGACCTACCTAAGATCACCATAAATAAATACAATCCAATACTAGGGCCCAGGTCTTCTGACATCTGCTCCGGGACCACTCCTGTGATGCCATGGTCTTTCCAGTTTTTTCTTCTAGATTAGTAAGTTCCCAAATCAAATAATGGTAAGTGGAGATGTTTTTCAGGCCAGTCACAGAGGCAGAGAACTGAAAACATGCGTTAGGTGCCCTGGGGATGCTGAGACTGGGAGCTTCTGGGAGCAGAAGAGCGTGGCTGGTCCAAAATAAGTGGTGATCTTAAAGAGATTTCAATCTAGAATCCATCGTGTGGTTCTACTTGCACCTTCTTGGCTTCTTAAACCCACTTGAAATGTATTTCATTTTCCTCTCATTGTGTTAGTACCTGCACACATGCAACAGGGGTGAGAAGAGAGGATCCAACCTGAGTCTTCAGACTGGATTCGGACACTTGGTAAAAATACACAATCACAAGAACCTTTTTTAAAAAGCTGTAGTCAGTAAGCCATTGTTTCAGAAAATTCAACGTGTAAATTTTGAATCATGCTCAGCGTCTTAGGAAAACTTTATTAGTTTTAATTTTCCAGAGGTAGCTATGTCAAAATTAATAAAATTCTATCATGTTGGAACAGTTCATTGAAGAACATGGGACAAACATGTTTCTGGCATGTCAGTCTACACAGAGTTTTAAGTGATGAAAAACTCACCTTGCCCTCCTGCGATACTTCTGTAGTTAGTAACTGGTGTAGTGCAACAGAAAAGAGGTTTAATAAGAATGGAGAACCAGAAGAAAGTAGAGGCTGAAGAAAATGGCAGCTGGTGAAAATGGCAATCATAGTTTCGGTGTCATAAAACAAGTCCAGATGTAGGTACGGAGAGCCTGTATTTATAAAAATTATTACTGAGGGACTGCTGACCTAGGGAGAGCACTCCACCTGTGAGATCCAGCACATCCCAGACATCATGCAGCAGGGGGAGATTGAGCAAGACAAGAAAGAACTTGGTCAGAGAGTGGGGTGAGCGGATACAGGGACCAGGCAACTGAACAGGGAGTGTCTTTCTTGGTGGCCAGACAATTCTGGGACAGACAGACAGGTACGGGAGGCTGTTCCATCTTCCACCTTTAATCTCCTGCATATGCTCCTGCTCATGGTCAGTCATGTCCGACTCTTTGCAGCCCCTGGGACTATAGCCCACCAGGCTCCTCGGCCCATGGAATTTTCCAGGCAAGAGTACTGGAATAAGGTGTCATTTCCTACTCCAGGGGGTCTTTTCGACCCAGGGATCAAATCCACGTCTCTTGCATCTCCTGCATTGGCAGGCGGATTCTTTACCACTAGCACCACCTGTTAATCTCATAGTTGTTTAAACTCAAGGATGGGCTAAAGTTCAGGGGCCCAGGAAAAACAAGACATCTAACTGAAGTTTGTTCAAGTTAAATTAGCAAGTGTTTTATTCAGTTTGACCCATGGGCACAGAGAGTTCCATTAGTAATCTATGAGACAAAGCATAGGAATTTGGATGGTTTATGTCTAAGTTTT